CTTATGGTGCGATGGTCAGAAATCAATATTTTTGAATCCATGGATAAAGTAATTTCCTTATAGCCATAAAATATTATTATACATATGTATTATACATTTAATAGTATAAAAAACAATGAAAAAATGAAGAAGAAATATAATTGAAAACAAAAGTTTTAACCAAATATATAATCAAGCTCTTACAATGATATCTTAATTGAGCTTTCAACCCATGCAAGAACATTAAAAATTAAACAAAGAAAATATTGAGAATATCATATATGGTGGAGGAGGATGTAAAAATGAGTATTTATAGGATAAAATATGATGTAAGTTACAATTCTGAAATAATTAAATCAGAGGAGTTATAATTATATTTTATAGTGTGTTAATTGAAGTTAAATGGAGGAAACAAATAGTCAATTGAAAGGTTATATAATTTAAGTTACAATTTAATAGTAAAGTGTGGATTTCAAGTATGAATTAAAGTATATGACTAAATGTGTTAGATATTTGGTTTAATTAAAATTAAATATTATAATTTAAAAATAAATGCTAAATGGACCAATAAGGAGAGAGTGAAACCTTAAAAATTCCCAAGAAATAATTTTATTTTTAATCTCTTTTTATATTCCTCTTAATTTAAGTTATATTTCGAGGTTTAATTATATTTTTCATCCTTGTAGTATATATATAATAGATAGAAAATGGAATACCAAATTGTTTTTTAGATAGGAAATCAAGTATAAAATTCAAAGTTAAAACAAATTATAATGTTCTTTGTATTATTACATGTTGAATCACAAACTAAATAGAGAATTTTTGAGAAATACCCCTTTTGGTGTACCCCTTTTTAAAAATACCCCCTTTATCTATCCATTTTAAAAAATACCCCTTTTTAAATATAAAAAATTATAAAGTTTTATATAGTTTATAAGGTACTTCTATATAATAACTACTACTGGGAGATTTGATACAAATATTTTAAAATGTTTTAAATAGTTTTAAGTCGTTTTTATAAGTTTTATAAGGTTTTTAAAAGGATTTATACAGTTTTTAAGCTTTTTATAAGTTTTTTATAATTTATTTTTACGCTATTTATGAAAGGTATATAAAGTTTTATATACATATAAAGGTAATTTGTGTATATATTTATAAGTTTACACACATATTTGGATAAATTTCAACATTTTTAGTGGGTTTTTTGATAAAGTTTGAAAAGGGGGTATTTTTAAAAAGAGGTATATGAAAAGGGGTATTTTTGAAATTCCCCCAACTAAATATAAGGATCATTATTCTTATAAGAATGTCTTACAAATTGGTTTGATAATTATATAACAAAAAGTTTATTTTGTTAAAAAATTACATACTTTTGAAAATAAATTAAATATACATGAATATGTGAGAAAGAAACAAACATACAAAGTAAAATAATGAAAATGGTTTCTTTAGCTTGATTTTCTTATAACCATAAAATATTATTATACATATGTATTACATTTAAAAATATAAAAAACAATGAAGACATAAAGAAATACATAAAAACAAAAAATAAATAAAATTGAAAACAAAAGTTTAAACTAAATAATTAATCAAACTCTTACAATGATATTTTAAATGAGTTTTCACCCCATGCAAGAACTTTTTAAAAAAACAAAGAGAATAATGAAGATATGAGATATGGTAGAGAAGGATGTGAGAATGGCTATTTATATGATAAGAAGTGATGTAAGTTACATTTTTAAAATAATTAAATTAGAGGAGTTATAATTATAATTTATAGTGTGTTTAATTGGAATTCAATAAAGAAAACCAATAGTCTTTGGAAATTTATATAATTTTCAGTTTCATTTTAGTAGTAAAGTCTGAATTTAAAGTATGAATTAATGTATATGATTAAATGTGTTTTTTGGTTAAAAATAAATACAAAATGGAACAATAAAGAGAGTGAAACCTTACTTATATATATATGATTTTAAATAACTTTCCACCAATAAGGCTTAAAAAATTTGTTGAATGATATATGATTAAGTCTTTTCATTTTCTTTGCCATTTGATTATAACTTATAGTGTAATTAAATTTTGTATTGAATGATTGTCATAAACATTTATTTATTTATTTATTTTGTTGAATGATATATGATTAAGTCCTTTCATTTTCTTTGCCATTTGATTATAACTTATAGTGTAATTAAATTTTGTATTGAATAATTGTCATAAACATTTATTTATTTATTAAAAAAAAAAAATTAAAGCCTTAAATATTTTTCCACCAATAAGGAGAGAGTGGAACTTACTTTTATATATATATATATGATTTATTATAATTTAAAACAGTTTATTTTTTGTAGAGTAATTAAAGTTTTTAAAATCTAATCCAATCCGACCAATTCGGTAATATTTATCACATTTTTTTATTATTTTTAATAGATTTTTCCCCTAATTATCCCAAAAAAAAACGTGAGTGGTATAAATCTCGAAGAGATAAGAAACATAAACCATCCACTAACCGGTTTAGTCACCAGTTTCGACAAATTTTCTCTACATTCTTCTTCTTCTTCCTTTTTCTCTTTTCTCTGGCCCTAAAGGTTCGATTTTTTTGCTTCTCTGAGAGGGTGGGTAATCAATTAATCATGGACGCCGTGGCTGCGAATTTGGTTCAGTCGTCCATCTCACTACGTCAATCGCCCGATAAGTCGATGTTCTTGACGCCCAACTGTCCTGGCTTCATGCGATTCGGCTCCGGACCTCAATTTCGTCTCAGAGTATGTCTTGCTTCTGTTGCTTTTGGTTCTCGTAATCCCATAAATCAATTTAATTTAGCTTTCATGTTTGTTTGTGCTTATCTCCCATAAAGTTGGAATTTTTATGATTCTGTGTCAAAGAAAAGATGGAACTTTTGGGTTCTTCGTGCAGATGTCACATAAGTTAGAAGTGGCTTGATTGTAGTAATTTGAATATGTTTTTTATGGATGATGCAGCAAAAGTCTTCTAGACCATTGCAAAGCCGAACTAGTAATGTGAGCTCTCGGAGGAGTTTTGTGGTTAAAGCTTCAGCTTCTTCTGGTGGTGATGCTTCTACCGATTCAATCGCGCCACTTCAGTTGAAGTCTCCTGTTGGGCAGTTTCTGTCACAGATATTAGTGAGCCATCCTCATCTTGTTCCAGCAGCTGTTGAACAGCAACTTGAACAGCTCCAAATCGATCGAGACGCTGAGGAACAGATCAAGGATGATTCCTCTGTCCCTGGAACAGACATTGTTCTCTACAGGTTTGTCACACATCACATTCTGATTTTTTTAATTACCATTCTTCTGCTACTTTTAAGGTTTGGATTTTGAATTTAGAATTGTTTCTTGGGTGTTTAGGAGAATTGCTGAAATTAAGGAGAAAGAGAGAAAAAGGGCTTTGGAAGAGATTTTGTATGCTTTAGTGGTTCAGAAGTTCATGGACGCTAATGTTTCACTTGTACCATCCATAACCTCATCATCTGCTGATCCTTCTGGTCGAGTTGATACTTGGCCAACTCTAGATGGGGAACTTGAGAGACTTCACTCGCCTGAGGTTTATGAGATGATTCAGAATCATCTTTCCATCATCCTCAAAAACCGCACTGATGATCTGACAGCAGTTGCGCAGATTAGCAAACTTGGAGTTGGACAGGTATACGCTGCTTCCGTGATGTATGGGTATTTCCTGAAGAGGATCGACCAAAGGTTTCAGCTCGAGAAGACGATGAGGATTCTTCCTGGTGGCTCATATGACGGTGAGACTAGCATTGAGCAAGCAGGCCCAGAAACAGAGAGAAGCTTCTACGAAGAAGCAGAAGAAACCTATCAGGCTGTATCCTCGAACCAAGAGGTTGGTTCATTTGTGGGAGGTATCAACGCTAGTGGTGGCTTTAGCAGTGAAATCAATCAGTCCCGGTTAAAGACATATGTTATGTCCTTTGACGGAGAAACCCTTCAAAGGTACGCTACAATAAGATCAAGAGAAGCTGTGGGGATAATTGAGAAGCATACAGAGGCATTATTTGGGAGGCCAGAGATATTGATAACGCCACAAGGCACAATTGATTCGTCGAAGGATGAGCATATCAAGATCAGCTTCAAGGGATTGAGGAGGCTTGTGTTGGAGGCTGTGACGTTTGGATCTTTCCTCTGGGACGTGGAGAGTCACGTAGATTCAAGGTATCACTTTGTACTGAACTGAAACGGTCTTATGTGTTTGGTGAGGAATGGATGTGCCACATTATTTGTTCTTTGTAATATATGCAACTGTGAACTGACCAACTAATATTTGTTTCCCTAGAAATTGAGTTTATCAATACCCATTTTATTGGTAATGACCCATTTTATTTGTAATGATACATTCGCAATCAATTTGTGTTATTCTTCTTATCTACCTTTCTGTGATTGCATTTTGCAAACTGAAGTTCATGACCAGGATGTAAGGTTGAAGAGCATTTTAAGTTCATAGACGTGGTGGTTTAACAAAATTAGTGTCTATTAAGGCTGTTCTTGAAATATAGATCAAAGGTGAAAGAAATGAACACTGATGACAAACATATCGTGAGCAAAAGAGTATTCACGATACATAGTCTCATAATTTAGTTCAAGTTCAGTAGTCTTCGAATGTTAAAAAAAAGAAATGCAATAATAATAAAAAAAAAGCTTTACTTATATAATCGTTTTAAGGAACCAACTCCCTATACTCGTGAAGATTATTACTCTTCCTTGAATCTCTTCTCCGTTGCCTCCAAGAGCTCCAGGTCTTTGTTGTACTTGCAGATGCGGTAGATGCACCTGTTCAATGAACACAATAGATATCAGTGAGTAACACGAGACCTTGTGTATGTGTGTGTAAACTATTAAAAGCTGCTGAAGTTACCAGTAGAGAAGAATTCCTGCAGCGCAAAGAACCACATTCCTCTGAGCCTTGTAGGTCTGCAGTACACACAAATCGTTAGTAAGCAAGCTGAGACATTTCAAGGGCCAGATAAGAAACTAAATTTCAGAGTTTAAATTTCACTATGTGCAATTGATTCTGGCAACTTGCAACTGCAGAACAAAAAGTAACTGCAAACCATGCATCAATTGAGTGGTGAGGAAGGAGGAAGTTTCACCAAGAATCTATTGCCAACAGACTCACACAAAACGTTGTATCCATGAATTCTATAAAGCCAATCTCATGTTTTGCTATTTGACAGTAGCTAGAGCTATGATTTACGAGATATGAGTACATCAATGGGTGATCAAGACCTTAAAAAAAGATGCAATTTACACTAGGAAATGAGAGACTGTCTGTTTTTCGATTGTTGATACACTAAAATCTCTATACAACATCCTTGAAGCCTATCGTCAGATGTTTTAGTCACAAGTCTTGATCTTAGACTAAAGATGGGGGCAAAACAAATCAGGATGAAACTCACAAACCTAACAATTTACTAAACAAAAAGATTCATAACACATACAATTCAGCTATAGAATAAATCAAAGACTATGGTTATACAAAGTCAACAAAATTGGAATTGGTACTCACAGATTTCTCGTAGCGATCCCGTTCCGTAGCAGTGCATACCTCAGACGAACAAGAGAGTCTATGCTCAGCCTTCCAGTAAATATCTGAATTAAACCAAAACGATACTAAGCACAAAGATACACCGAACACACAAGAATCACACGCGGCTCAAAAACCCTAACTAAATTAATACAAAATCGATTCCGATTACGAATTCTAGAAATCAGATGAGATCTAGGGATACAGAGAGAGAGAGAGGAGGTTACCGAGGAGCTGGAATCCGGAGAAGGCGACGATGGAAGCAGCAGGTTGGAGAATCAACGAGACGAGTTGAACAACACGTTTCTTAAGAAGCATAGGGTAAGGTAGAGTCAACATGAGGGCGATCACAACTTCGACGGCCACCACATACGACAGAATCAGCCATTGCAACGCCATTGTTGTTCGTCTTCTGGATCTCTCTTTCTTGTGAGGTCGACGAAGAATATAATTACAGACGAACCGTGTGCGTGTGGCGCACGTGCCTACGAAGCTTCTTTTTAAACTTACTAATTAAGTTTTTTTTTTTTAACCTTGATGGGCTCTAAGTTTCGGCCCAAAAATAACACTCACTCACTTCTTCTTCTTCTACTTCCTTTACTGTCTCCTCCTTTCTGCCATTGTTGACTGTCAAAGTTTCGATTTTTCTCTTTTACAGTGAGCTTAAGTCTATTCGATCTCACTGAAAGCTAACACTATGGTTCATCCGGCTAAAAAATTCATCAACAACCCAAATGGTTCGTGATCCCTCGTCTCCTTCTTCCTTCTCTTTTTGTGTTTCCAGCTCTCTGTTTTGAAATAGTTAGTCTCGTATGGTCGTTTTATGCTCATGAAAATATCAATCGTTAGAGAGACTGAACATAAGCTTCTTTTATTTCTCGTTACTGTGTATTGCAGATGTTGTAACCGAGTTCATCGAGGGTCTTGTCGAAACTTATCCTGGACTTCAGTATTTGGATGGTCTTCCCGAGGTTCTAAAACATGCATTCTGGTTTTGGTTTTTTTTTTTCAATTTTTACCATGGCTGAGCAAAACCTAAGGCTCATTCTGATGAATTTACAGGTCAAGGTTGTATTACGGGCTGATGTCTCGGCTGCAAATTATGACAAGGTTGCTGTTATATCAGGTTTGGATTTTTCGTGTCGAAACCTAATTTATGTTTTGATTGAGTTTTGTTTTCGTGTTATGCAATGCCATTTTTGAAACAGGAGGGGGAAGTGGGCATGAGCCAGCACAAGCTGGGTATGTTGGAGAAGGAATGCTCACAGCTGCTATTTGTGGAGATGTTTTTACTTCGCCACCGGTTGATTCAATCCTAGCTGTAAGTAACTCTTCCTACATAACTATTCTTCTTTCTTTGTCTTCTCTTGAGTCTCTCTAGTGAATGATGAATCTTTCTTCTAATTCCAGGGGATTCGAGCTGTAACTGGTCCAAAAGGATGCCTCTTGGTTGTCACGGTAGTTAGAACATGGTTACAAATATGTTTGAAAGACTATCCTTTTATGTCTTTGGCTGATTTAGTTTCTCCTTCAACTATCTTTTTTAAGAATTATACTGGTGACCGCTTGAACTTTGGCCTAGCAGCTGAGCAAGCAAAAACTGAGGGTTTCCAAATTGAGGTTATTTGTTTATTTATTGTTTAGAATTTGGTAAGAGCATTGGTGGATAGAATGACATTTTCCCTTTTGTAGACTGTGATTGTTGGAGACGATTGTGCTTTACCCCCGCCGCGTGGCATAGCTGGAAGGAGAGGTTTAGCGGGAACAATTCTTGTCCATAAGGTTCTCAGTTTTCCTTTAATCTTCTATTCCCTGTATCTGCACTCTAAGCTAGCATGTCTTAGAAGAGTTTGCAGTCAATTGTCCTCATCTTGTTTGTTATTGCATTTTATTATATTGGTTTGTGATGTCTGAGTGGCAGGCTCTTTCGGGAACTTATATTTTTAAATCCTTTCTTATTGTTGTTGGTCAAGGATAGGTTGCTGGAGCAGCAGCTGCTGCTGGTCTATCTCTAGCAGAAGTTGCAGCGGAAGCAAAACATGCATCTGAGATGGTTGGGACCATGGGTGTTGCACTATCTGCTTGTGCACTGCCAGGCCAGGTTACATCAGATCGTTTGGGTCCAGAAAAAATGGAACTTGGGCTTGGAGTTGTATGTTATTTCCCTTCTTAATTTCTTTTATGCCACATAGGAAAGTGAGAGCACATTGCTGTTTCTTGTATTTTGACTTTTTTATTCTTGCTATTTTTGAACCTTTCATTAAGCATGGGGAGCCTGGTGCTGCTGTGGTTGACATTCAACCTGTGGAAGTTGTAGTTTCCCATGTACTTCAACAGATACTGAGTCCAGTACGTACACTATCCTTGTTTCTCTGCTATAGTTTCTTCATTCCGTAGTCATCTTAGGGTCATTAATTGACTTACTATCTCCAAAATTGTAGTGCTAAAAATACATGTATTGTGTTTCATTCATTGGCCTATGCATTCTTCTTAACTGCAGGAGACTAACTATGTTCCAATTACACGTGGTAACAGTGTGGTTCTGATGGTTAATGGGTAAGCTTGTATATTCCATCTTCCTATCTAGTGATCCTTGTACTCATTTTCATCATTAGTATTTTAATCAGTGGATAATTCTATTTTTCCTATTGTTCTGCAGCTTAGGTGGTACTCCTCTAATGGAACTTTTGATTGCTGCCGGAAAAGCAGTCCCAAAATTACAGTTGGAATTTGGGCTTGCTGTTGATAGGGTGTATACTGGATCATTTATGACGTCTCTTGATATGGCAGGTAACCGTTTTGGTTGTGTCTATGTGAGTCAGCAGTTTTTTGCTGTTTCTCTCATACTCCTTCCCTTTACAGGGTTCTCGATATCAATCATGAAGGCGGACCAGTCAATTTTAGAGCGTCTGGATGCTCCGACCAAGGCTCCTAGTTGGCCAGTTGGCACAGCCGGTCTGTAAAATTCTTCATTCTGTATCATTATATGGTTATGTCGTTGTCGTCTCCTTCTTCTTTTTTTTGGACAAAAGACAGATAGACCTCTCAATCTACAGGGAACCGTCCACCAGCAAAGATCCCCGTTCCACTGCCCTCCCAAGCAACGAAAAGCGAAGAGGTAAGCACTAGGTTTGCGCAAAAATGCTACTAGTCAGCTTAGAAGGAGTTCAATGAGACTTGATAACCTGTTAGTTTCATGAGAACTTGCCAGGTGATAATGCTAACTTTATTTGCTGTTTTTAGTCTCTAAGCCGACCTCAAGCGCTTAGTCAACAAGGGAAAATTCTTGAGGCAGCTATTGAAGCAGCAGCAACTGTAGTCATCAATCTGAAGGATAGTTTGAACGAATGGGATGGAAAAGTAGGTGATGGGGACTGTGGATCAACAGTAAGTCCTGTTTTTCAAATGTCTGTATAACACGAAGTTTTGCATTTACGCATGTGGTATATCTTATGCACACATCACCATTCATAGATGTGCAGAGGCGCAACAGCTATTCTGGAGGACATGAAGAATTAGTGAGTCACTTTACTAGATCTGAATACTATTATATCTGTTCTTCTTCTCTGTTTAGTTTGATCGTTTACTTGCCATTTTTACCCTCTCTTTCTCGTTTTATAGTTACCCACTCAATGATGCTGCTGAAACAGTGAGTGAGATTGGTTCGTCGATCAGAAGAGTCATGGGGGGAACTAGTGGAATAATGTAAATTGATGCAGTTAATTTGATCTTTCTCTAAAATTGATCATGCATTTGGCATTGTCTGATAAAGACATGACACTGTCTCATATGAAACCAGTTACAATCTCCTCTGCAAGGCAGCATATGCGGAGTTAAAAGCTAACGGTCAGCCAGAAACCACTCCCAAACACTGTAAGATAATGTTCCTTGCATTGTTGTTCATTATTCGAAAAGTCACATGTTGGTCTACTATGTTACTGAGTTCTTCTTGAAATCAGGGTCTGAAGCACTCAAGTCATCAATCTCTGCTGTCAGTAAATATGGTGGAGCAACTGCCGGTTATAGAACGATGTTAGATGCACTCATCCCAGCTTCAAAAATCCTTGAGGAGGTGACTGATCAATAAATTACCTTTTTAAAAACCAGGGATTGATATTTGTTAAGTCATAAGGAGCTTTGCTTTGATTGTGAGCAGAAGCTGAGTGCTGGGGAGGACCCTATAACTGCTTTTATTCTGTCTGCTGAAGCTGCAACCGCAGGAGCTGAATCTACCATTCATATGCAAGCACAGGTGAGCTTTATTGACTCGGTTAATTGCTACAACATTGCAATCACTGAGATCACAGTTTGGATGTAAGTTTTTTGTTTATTTGATGTGATGGATAATGGAATTGGAGGACAGGCTGGAAGATCAAGTTATGTATCAGCTGAGATTCTTGCATCAATTCCTGATCCAGGCGCAATGGCTGTAGCGGCATGGTACAGCGCCGCTGCAAGAGCCGTGAAGGAGAAGAGCCAGGGGTTGGGATCGGATGGACTACTCTGTTAGAGGTTTCATCGCATCTAATGTTTCTGAGTGCTGACTCTGTTTATATTCAAATTACTAATGGATTCTTGTGAAGTGTTTCCCCTGTATATATACAACTGAAGGATTCTTGTGAATTACTAAGATTTGTTGTCATCTATATTAAATTTTAGTAAGATTAAAACCAGAAGCTGGTGTAGCATGATGTACTCATAATCCAGATAGAGAAGGTGAAAGTACACCGTGTAACATGATGTACTTATTTACATGGTAAACGGAACCATGATCTCATTAACCCGACGGGTATAATCAGGAACCAAATACGCCAGAGACTTTCCTTTACTCTTTCTCGATAGGTAAACGGTAAACCCCATTGAGTTCCCTTGAGGCTATCCATCAGAGCCGCAGCTTCTTTCTTGGTTGCAAAGTCACTGAACTGAACTGCCTCACGGCTACGTACCTACGTTGGTTTCCATGGCTGCACGTGGATGTCGTCATTAGCCTAAGGTGGGTTCTGTTGGTTCTTCTTCGGGATGTAGAAGGAGACGGTGTAGACTGTCTTGTTCTGTGATCACCGGAGCTGTCATGTTCTGTGATCACCGGAGCTGTCATGTTCATCTTCACCTGTCCTTGTTTATTTCCTTGAATGTAACTAAATAATCTGCAAACCCAAAAACAAATTAAAATCAGTCTCGGTTTCACTAGTCAACAAAAAAATATTACTTACAATAGCTTTTTGCATGATATATATATAGAAACCAAAACAAATAAAATCTTATTAGGTTTATTTGTTTTGAAGTTTGTTTCCTTAATCTAATTATGGAGTAACTTACTTAAATTATACTAATTGGGTTTAGATTCTAATTGGGATGTCATGTGTGATAAAGTATTTATATGGATTTAGGAAATGATAAGAATTAATAGACTACCAGTTATTAATACATTTGAGTGACTAGTTAAACTTAGTACAAGTTTGACCACTAATTTGAATTCAGATATGGCAAGATACTTATGAATTGCATCCATCCCTAAGTAAATGTGGAACTTGATTAATTTGACTAGAAAAAAAAATTGAAACTGAAATTCTTTTTAAGAAAATATAATTAAGAGGTGACCAAAATGCAACTAAATAATGATATTATTATTATTATTTTTTAAAAAATAACTTATAACGGTATTTCGCGCGAAAGATAGTAACTAATTAACTTGAACTGCCAATGTGGTAGACCAAAAAAACAAATATCTCCAATTGAAAAATGGAAGGTAATTAATTAACTTTGATAGCCTATATATATGTTATGTTGTACCTCTTTGCAACAATAACATCATATATACTATGTTTCCATCTTCTTAGTTTCTGAGTCAAGAACATTCTCTCTTAGCTTCTTCATTCATGTCTCTCTCACAAAACACATCCTCTACATTACCAAACGAAAGTGTCGGTACCGATGGAGTCTATCATGTTGATCAAATATGTATGCTTCCTAACGACATGTTGAACAAGATCTTATCAGAATTGAGCACAGAAGAAGCGATGAAGACATGTGTTTTGTCCAAACGATGGGCGGATACATGGAAACAAATGTCAACAATTTGCTTGGACATGCGAAAGATCATCACCATCAATGGGATTGTTTTGCCTCAGCTATTAGATCGTGGTGCTAAACTCATAACCAAGGTTCATTTTATTTCTCTCTCAATATTAAATTTTACAATTTACATATGGTAATTGTCAAAAATCGAATTTCGCTCCAAAATGATTGCATTTTTAGGAAAAAATTTATCTATTTTACAAAATATTCAAAATTGTTATTTTTAAATAATATATAACGGTATTTCGCGCGAATCACTGTGATCTTAAAAAAAAAAACTGGTCAAAGATATTAAAAAAAAATTAGTCGATCTCATCAAGATGTGCTTCATGTAACAATCTTGATGAGACTATATATCAAAAACATGAGATTATTTACAAAGATAATAAATTTTATGAGACTTAAACAAACAAAATCTTGAATATTTTTATAGAATTCAACACTTATTGATTGAAACATCTATTACATATATATGTTAATAGACTTAATCATCTTTGCATTTTTCAGGTTATTAACAACCACAATGCTCATTTAGAGACTTGCACAATATTTCACTACTCATACCAATTGGAAGACGGGATGCTTGCTTCTTGGATCCAATCACTCACTACTGAAAAAAAAACCAAGAATCTTATACTTGGAAATTTCAATGGCCGCTTCTTACCAACGGCTGACTCCAATATGCTCAAGTTGTCACCAAATACATTCAGCCATCCATCTCTAACAACACTCTCGCTATATCAATACATATTACAAGATGCACAAGCCTTTACTAATTGTAAGAATCTCAAGCACCTTGAACTCCATCACATCTTTGTTGAGGCTGATGTATTGAACAAGGTCATCTCTTCTTGCCCATCCCTCGAGGGTCTTATCCTACAAATCTTTTTTAACAATCCAAGTGGTCATCTAAAGATCATTGATCACAAAAGTCTGAGGATCTTGGTCATGTCATGCAACCAAATTGATGGCATTGAAGTGTGTGAAGCTCGTCTTGATATGCTCTCCATAGAGTTTATCTTATGTGATATTGAGAACGTCGTTCTTGAAACTCCTAGTCTCCCTTTTGGTAGAAACTATTGGGTTGCAGGACAACTATTTCCTCATACCAGCATCAATATCTCAAGTCCCGCTCAGGTACAAGAAAATAAACTTGGATGCATACAAAGTAATGTACATTTATGATATTTAGTTAGCCATCTTTGTTAATAGTAAATTTAAATCTCAGGAGAGCGCAAGAAATGGGATGGTGTTGGCTCCTGTCAACCATGTAACCCGACCTGCATCGTTATCTGTGAGTGTAAATTTAAAGAATTCACAAGAAGTCGAAGTGCTAAGGAAAATATTAGCTGTGTGGACTGAAAAAATGATAGAACTTGAAATATCATTTAAGGTACGTATATGCATGTAGTCATTGGATGTTTTGATTCATTATTGTTCTCTTTAATCACTTTAATATACTATATAGTATTTTAACTTGTTATATGTATAGAATGACAATTCTCTTAGGGAAGAAGGAGATTCTACTAATTTGTGGGACAAGGCAGAGCCGTTTCCCAACGTCGATTTTCGCGTGGATACTGTATGGATGTATAATTTTTCTGGTTCAGATGAAGAAGAGTTTGCACTAGCTTCGAGTTTGGTGATGCAAAAGACAGTAATGAAGAAGATGATGATCAAGACAACAACATACCCTAAAAAGAAGAAGATAGAGATAGAAGGAGCAGTTGCCAAGCTAAAGGAACTTCCAAAAGGCAACGAAGAGCTTAGCATCGAATGCTTCTATTGAGATATGTTGAAGATTATAAATTCTTAACTTTGAAGTTTTTAATGTTTCTGGTGTTCGTTTTCGTTTTCTTTACATAATGATGTCTTTGCTTTTGTTGTTTGGGTACATTTCGAGATGATAAAAATTTATGATGATTACATCAAAACAATTTCAGGTTTTCTTTTATATAATGTTACATGAATTTTTTTTTTTACATTTAATCACATCATATAAATTATTTAAGTATAGACATTGTTTTAAATAAATAAAAATTGTATATATGTTGCAAAAGAAGAAAATGTTAATAAAACGGTTTAAGTTAGGAAAAAAACTTGAATTGTTGACTAGAAATATCATGTCAATAAGGAAAGCATAAATTTTTCCCTCATTTGTTGACTATAAGAAATAACTAAATTTTGAATTGTTTAAATAAATTGAAAAGGATATGTTTTATGATTAAATATAATTGGTGTTGTCTTTTTATTGCATTTATGTGATTATGTTTTTAATTACCTTTATGTACGGAAGAATAAAGGTTAACGGTATTTCGCGGGAAAATAATATATTTTCAAATATGTGATTCACAAAGGTTTCAGATGAATATATAGATTTTTATTAAATTAAAAAAAAATCTAGAAGACATGATCTTTTACCACTTAGATTAAATATTTGTTTTTGTTCAGAAAAAAAAATCTTGGCTTGCATAAATAAAGGTGTACCAATTCATCTATCTTAAATAGAATTTTTGCCTCATGATTAATTTGGTATGCTTCAAGAAACTGAAAACAAATCTAATTAGGCTTGTGTAAAGTATACAAATCCATATAACTATATTGTAAAATCCATAATACGTATAAATATAGAAAAAATAGAATGTTTATAATTTTTAAAATATTACCGAATAGCACTTTAAAGTTTAAATCTCAAAAGAATTTCACTAAACATTATAAACCACTAAAAAGTCCAAAACAAAACTAACATTTTCTGACTTCTTTCATGCAGAACTACACGAAACGAACTATCCAAACCCCACCCGACCCGACCCGACCCGACCCGAGTGTAAACTTAAAGGTAAATGGGCCTCGGCCCATAAAAGAGAAACAATGGAGAGAGTCAAACGTAGAAAGAAGCGAAGCGATGATGATGATGAGAGGACTGGTAACACTCTCAAGAGTAAAGCTCGAGCTTGTGAGATCAATGTCTGCAACATCCGTACCATCAATGGCGGACTTTCTCACTAAAAAACCTTACTCTCCTCCTTCCTGGGCTTCTCATCTTCTTCCGATTCCTTCCCACACCTTCTCCCTCGCTCACGTACGTTAATTTCAATTTTCTCAAATCAATCTTTCATTCTCATTCCCCATTACTTCCACTGATCATCTTCTTCTTCCTTCTTCTTCAGCTTCCTACTCCGATCCATCGATGGAATCTTCCTGGTCTTCCTCATGGCACTGAACTCTGGATCAAGGTCTCCTCATATCTTTTTGTTGTTGTTGTTCTGTGTGTGGCTTCTCTTCTTCCTTTTTCACCTTACCGTTTTTTCAATTAAATTTGGCAGCGAGATGATTACACCGGCATGGAATTGAGTGGAAACAAAGTCCGAAAACTCGAGTTTTTAATGGCTGAAGCTGTTAATCAACTCGCCGATACTGTAATCACCATCGGTGGTATTCAGAGCAATCATTGCCGTGCTACAGCCACCGCATCTAACTATCTTAATCTCAATTCTCATCTTATTCTCCGTACTTCCAAGGTCTCGCTTCTGATTCTTCACCTTACGATTTGATAGAGTCTCTGTTGTTATGTGTGTTTATGTGTGTTTGTAGCTTCTTGCTGATGATGATCCTGGATTGGTTGGGAATTTACTGGTCGAGCGTCTCGTTGGAGCTAATGTTCATCTCATCTCTAAGGAAGAGTATTCCTCCATTGGGAGTGAGGTTAAAGTCCATTGCATTAAGTTTTACTTATTAAGAACATGAAACGAGTAGTATTATTTAGTCTGATCAGAACTTGTTCTTGTGATGGTAATGATAGGCTCTTACTAATGCTCTTAAAGAGAAACTGGAAAAGGAAGGCAAAAAACCGTATGTTATTCCGGTTGGTGGATCTAACTCTTTGGGAACTTGGTGAGAGTGTGTTCTCATAAGAAACTATTTTAAGCAGTAACCTGTGTGTAGTTTTAAAAACTTGTTTTAGATTGAACGATGAGCCGGGTTTGAGTCATTGTAATACTGAATTTCCCTATGCTAATCGTCTAGGGGTTATATCGAAGCAGCAAGGGAAATTGAGGAGCAGCTGAAAAGCAGATCTGAGGGCCTGAAGTTTGATGATATTGTGGTAGCATGTGGCAGGTTCTGCTTTTGCTTCCCTTGCAATTTTTCCTTGTCTTTTACTTTCATTTGCTTCACTCTCATCTTAGTTTTCATTTGGATTGCTAGTGGTGGTACAATTGCTGGTATTTCATTGGGGTCTTGGTTGGGAGCTCTAAAGGCCAAGGTATATTCTTTCAGTTTTTAGGTGCTTCGCTCATAGTTAAGTTGACAGATGGCTCAGTTAAGTTTCATTCCCTGTACAGGTTCATGCTTTCTCGGTTTGCGATGATCCTGATTACTTCTATGACTTTGTCCAAGGCCTTCTTGATGGACTTCAGGCTGGTGTTAATTCTCGTGATATTGTTAGCATCCACAATGTGAGTGTCATGGCTTCTCTGTTTTGGTTATTTCTCATTGGTGATTTCTCTTGGCTCTGTAGCAAACCCCACTAAGTGGAAAATTGTGATACAAGCTTTTTCTCATTTAAGTACACAGGTTCGGAATTTGATTCTTTTATCATTTTGCAGGCCAAAGGAAAAGGATATGCCATGAACACGTCAGAGGAGCTCAAGTTTTTAAAGGAAGTAGCAAGTTCAACTGGTGTTATTCTTGATCCTGTTTACAGGTATGTTAGTCATTCTAGTTTTTCCATTGTTACATGAAATATTTATGGTCGTCATTAGCCCTTGCATCTCTCAAAGTAGCATCGTAATATATAGTGAGATTGACATTTGGGTTTTTCGAGTGTTTATCTAGTGGGAAAGCTGTGTATGGTATGATAAATGAGATGACCAAGGATCCCAAAAATTGGGAGGGAAGGAAGATATTGTTCATACACACCGGTGGGCTTCTCGGGTTGTATGATAAGGTTGATCAAATGGCTTCTCTGATGGGTAATTGGTGCCGGATGGATGTTTCAGAATCCGTACCAAGGAAAGACGGTGTTGGAAAAATGTTCTAACAAAACAAAATCTGATATGTAATAATCCTATGAAGATGATACAACAGATTGAACAAATTTGTGCATTTCGCAGTGAATATAAACTCATTTCTGTATTCTGTTATGATGTAGTATGTTTGATGGCTTGGAGGATTACGAAAAAATAAATTTGGTGTGGTCTCTTTCTATATTTGTTAAGTGGCAGCTATCTCTGTTCATCGTATGCTCAACAAATTCAAGAAATGCTGCTCTCTTCAGTTGTGTTTGCATGTTTCGAAACAGATTAGAGATGATCTACAAAGTAAGATAGATCGCTTTGGTCCATGAACAAAGAGTCTAGTTCATGTTCCAACCACTGCATTTGCATTCGATGTTAGTCAGATTTTACAATTCCAAACATCTTGAACTTGTATGTACTAATCTTAGTATTGAGAGATGGTTGCAACCACCACTTTAGAGTCCACAAAGAGTCTGAGCAATTAAATTCATTTTTCTTACTAAAGAGCAATGCACATGGCTGAAATTGACATGTATACTCATTGATTTTTTTTTTTCTTCTTCCTTTTATTCATAACAGAAATATTGAAAGAAAACAAAAATCATTGAATCATATTAAATTTTGGTTGAGACTCATATTATTATTATGTTTTTTTTTTGCAAATCAAAAATATGGTAGTAAGAGTACAAACAATATGTAAAAAGTTAATAAGATCCCGCAATGAAGACATATAAGACCTATGTGAATCAAATAGTAAACTGTAGTACTACTAAGTACTAACATTGATCTACATCAATCTTATCTGTATCTTTGATAGTATCTTCTACTCATACCCAAACCTAATAATAATAATTTTACAATGGGTCCTATAAAATGAAACTTTTGTCTGAAAACAAAACAAATATGTTTGTTGAATAAACTAATTTTCTCTAATAGTCCATAGTATCATTATTGTTTTTTATACGAAACAACCAGCATTTTTGTAATTATTCAATTTTCATTGATATCAATCGTCGTGTCAAAACCTGATGTATCGTCCGTATAAGATAAAAGAAAAAAAAAACTCAGATTACCAAAAAAATGATAAGAATTCAAATGGTTCTCTATCAAGTAGCTTTCTGTTGAGTACACCAATTTGAGGTAAAGAACAAAGTCACCAGTGAAAAGAAAAAAAAAACAAACTTAAAGATCCGTCAAATCAAAATTTAGATAGAAAAATAAAGAAAGTGAAATTTGAATATACACAACAAATCATACCATGTGATGACTTCTCAGTTCTCACCACATTCCCAAAATTAGAAAAAAATGTATCAAAACCTTATTTTATGTAAAAGTAATAGTTCATAAATGTCTTCCGCATGAATTCTCATTTTATCTTTATATTTTACCACCAATTCCAATTGTTACCAAAAAAAAAAACATCAATGCATCCATTGACCTTTTAACATAGCTCTGATGAGTCCCACACTCATGTCATATCGCTGTCCATAAATATAATTTTTTGACCGGCGGTCAAAGTAAATTTGACTTGATGTTGAGAAATGATATGTGCAGCAGAGAATCGAATGTTTTGTGTGCGTGTGTGTGTGTAAAATGTGCCATTAAGGTTAATCTCGTGATCAATACTGTAGTGTAAACAACTCAAACACTACGAGCCTAATCAGTATGGAGTCATCGAGGGAGCCCAAACCTCTCTCTAGTAAACAAAAACGTCTTCGTTTTTCATCATCCTGATGGCTCGGTCGGTTCTAGATGATTCGCCATGCATGCATGCACGCATTGGTGCACACTACATTTCTTGATAGCCTTGGGAAACAGAATAATTATATATAGTTCAAATACAACATAACGTACATACGAGGATCATCCGTGGCTCGCCTACGTACACAAAAACACTTGGGATGATCATATCAAACTTAGTTTATATGCCGTAAAACTTCATTTCGAGGAGGTACGTTAATTAGTAGTTGAAGTCCGTTATAGAAAATCATCTGTTAATGCTTCTATCCAATTCTTGGTTGGTTTTTATAATCTTTCAATTATCTTATCCGATTATTGCGCAATTAATGTTTATAGTAAAAATGAATAATGTTTATTGTGAAAATGAATAATGTTTAGAGTTTCCAAAGCAACTACTTCTTTATACGTTAGACTTACAGTTACATAAAGAAAAAACTAAATTTTATTTGTAAATTTGGTTGTATTGAAAAGGATTTTGCGTGACAAAGGCGCAATATTAAATTTTCTCGTTTGATTATTACAATGTGTATAGTAAAAACAAATAATTAGTTTTCAAAATAACCTCTTTATGCATTTAGACTCATGCAAAATAACCTCACAAATTTCGCTGCATGAAAAGGATCTTGCATGACAAATTAAAGGCTATATACACATGTAAATACTTCAACACTTGTGACATTTTCTGTAACTCCTATTTTATCTCGAGGAGGTACGTTTGTATATACAGTTGACTAATCCTTCGACCGTTTTAGGAACTCATATATTGATCTATCTTTTTCATTAATATAATTTTTAATTTTCTTGTTCAAGTTTTACAATGTTTATGTAGAACCAATAATTATTTCAAAATAGACATGCGTTAGGTCTACAGTGATACAAAAAAATAAAATTTACTTACAAATTTTATCGCATAAAAAGGATTATGTAATTCTTCAACACTCTCGTACCATTGTAAAACTTGAACAAGAAAATCATATATTAATTTGACTTATCTTTGGTTGATTACTATTAAATTTTATCGCGTTCGATTATTACATTATTTTTTAATATAAACAAATAATTAATTCTAATAATAACATTTTTTTTTAACAGCAAAGTTTATTTTGACAAAAAAAAATAGTTTATGTAAACAAGTTAAACCAAATTAAAGTAAAGAAAATTGAAGCAAAAGGACATATAAAAACCACGTGATCATGACTCCACCACATTCCCAAATTTAGAACAAATAGCGAAACTGTCACAACGTATCACTTCCACGAAATCACAGTTCATATTTCCATGAAAAACAAATTTAGAGAATTAAAGTATATATTTATTAGTTAATACCCAACCAAAATTCATTTACTCATCTCCAATAATAATTCACAGTCCTTCTATTTACACTCTGTAGAAAACTAAACGTTAATTTATGAAAAACCTTAAATACTCTTTGTAATTTTGATTTGTATAATCTAAGAGACTAAATATGACATAATTAACTTATACAAAACGTATAATGAGATAAAAATGACGGCCGGTTTAATATATCAAATGATGACTAGTGTGCGTAGTTAATAAGTAGTTTACTTAACGCCAAACCTTTGAAGATTAATCGAGGTTAAGTAGGTAACGCATTACACTCATTATTTAAATTAAATCACTTGGATAAAATTAAATTAAATATATTATTTTTGGTATAGCTAGCGACAAAAATGTTTTTCGTCTTGTTGTTTTCGAGAAGGTTCTTTTTTATTTATTTATTTATTAATCGGATTAAATATATGTGCAAATCCACGTAAGCAGCGCATTACAAACAATGAAAGACTACAACACGACCTTGGGTCAGTAATACAAAGACCCAACCCTGACTCAACACGTCGTCAAACGCCAGCTAATTTAATAACGAGGGTAGCTTCGTAATTTTACTCATCCCAAAGAACCCTTGCGTTTCCTCGCAAAAAAAAAAAAAAAAGTGGAGTTTAAAGTGGTAGCAGTAAAATCACATTTTCTTTGTTATCTATTTTGGTTTCGGAGAGCTGAGAGAAAAAAGAGAGAACACAGAGAGGAAAGAGAGAGAGAGACGGGTAGGGTTGGGTTGGGTGCTCTGTACGGACTTTTCTCCGGTTAATTTAAGCGTCTCCGGCGAGAGATTGTAGTTTTTCAGGTATAATCGCGGTGGTTTTGTGTTTGTTCTTCAACGTCATCTTTGTTCGATCTGTGTGTTTACTGAGTTTTTCTTTTTCTTTCTCACTCGATTTGGTGGATCCGCTTCTTTTTGGGGGTTATAGTTCACTCATAGGGTTGTGTTCTTCCTTGATCTCTGTAATTTCGGATCTATTTTGCTTCGTAGCGGTTTTTAGTGTGTGTTCGTCTTCTAAGATATTTAGGGTTTCCTTCTTGTTGCTTTCGTTTCTTTTTGAGAGTTTCTTGCTTGTTTTCTTACTTGGTTTTCTTGGTTAGGTCACTGATTTTTTCATATTATCTTTGCTCTTGACTTTGTTTTTCTCTCTCTGTTTTTCATGAATTTGAACCTTTTTTTTTTTTTTTTGCGTCTGTATTGTTCGTCTTCCGAGATAGTTAGGGTTTTTCTTTCGTTGTTTGCTTCGATGTTTTGGTAAATTCGTGCTTTTTTTTCTTACTACTTTTTCTGTTTTAGGTCTTTGATTGTTTCTTACTACGTTTTCTAGTTTTGCTTTTATCTTTCAAGGATAAGTAAGAAATGATTCGCTGTTTTGTTTTTGTTTTGGTGTTATTTTCGCAGGAATCATAATGGTTAGAAAGAGAAGAACTGATGCTCCTTCTGAAGGAGGTGAAGCCTCTGGTTCTCGTGAAGCTGGTCCAGTCTCAGGTGGTGGTGGACGTGGTTCACAGCGAGGTGGTTTCCAGCAGGGAGGCGGTGGAGGACAACACCAAGGAGGAGGACAACACCAAGGAGGGGGACAACACCAAGGTGGAAGGGGTTATAACCCTCAGTATCAACAGGGAGGTCGTGGTGGTCGTGGATATGGGCAACCACCACAACAGCAATACCAGCAACAACAACAACAGTATGGTGGCCCACAAGAGTACCAGGGAAGAGGAAGAGGAGGACCTCCTCATCAAGGAGGTCGAGGAGGGTATGGCGGTGGCCGTGGAGGTGGACCTTCTTCTGGACCGCCACAGAGACAATCAGTTCCCGAGCTGCATCAAGCTACCTCACCTACTTATCAAGCGGTGTCTTCTCAGCCTACACTGTCTGAGGTGAGTCCTACCCAGGTGCCAGAACCTACTGTTCTGGCTCAGCAATTTGAACAGCTCTCTGTCGAACAAGGAGCTCCCAGTCAAGCAATCCAGCCTATACCTTCATCTAGCAAGGCTTATAAGTTTCCAATGAGGCCTGGTAAAGGACAGAGCGGAAAACGTTGCATTGTGAAGGCTAACCATTTCTTCGCTGAACTGCCTGACAAGGATTTGCACCAGTATGATGTGAGTTTTGGCTGCCTTGTTCCCTTAGATTAGCTACCCTATATCTAATGGATTTGCCTGACAAACTTTCTTTTGTCTCTGTTAGGTTACCATTACTCCAGAAGTTACATCAAGGGGTGTTAATCGTGCTGTGATGAAACAACTAGTTGATTCCTATCGTGAATCACACCTTGGAAAGCGTCTTCCTGCCTATGATGGTCGGAAAAGTCTGTACACTGCTGGACCACTTCCGTTTGTCTCCAAGGAGTTCAGAATCACTCTACTTGATGAGGAAGAAGGGGCTGGGGGACAAAGGTCAAGCTCTAATATTTTTTAATTTGTTTTTCTAATAAATTTTCTTCAGAATTAATAATGCATTCCCTACTTAACAGACGAGAGAGGGAATTTAAAGTTGTGATCAAGCTAGCTGCACGTGCTGATCTGCATCACTTAGGCTTGTTTTTAGAGGGGAAACAAGCTGATGCCCCACAGGAAGCTCTACAGGTTCTTGACATTGTTCTTCGTGAGCTGCCTACCTCTAGGTACCCTGGTTACTCATCCTAGGATGTTTGCTTCTTGACTACCATTCTCGTAAGTCTCAGCTGGTGTAGTTTTGCTAACATGTTAGAAACAGGTATACTCCGGTGGGCCGTTCCTTTTATTCCCCAAATATAGGAAGAAAGCAATCATTGGGGGATGGCTTAGAGAGCTGGCGTGGATTCTACCAAAGCATTCGTCCCACACAGATGGGCTTATCACTTAATATTGGTGAGATGGCGTGATGTATTACATTCAATAAGTTTTGATATTTAGGTCTCCTTGTAATATTTCAGCTGATGTTTGTGCTGCATTTTGTGTCTTTTGTAGATATGTCATCGACAGCATTCATAGAGGCATCCCCTGTGATTAACTTTGTCTGTGATTTGCTGAACCGGGATATTTCATCTCGCCCTTTATCTGATGCTGATCGTGTGAAGGTATGGGTCAATTGACTTTCTGGTAATCATTTTTGATTGTTTACTATAGGAAGTGAATAGTTGTATTCATTTACTCTTATTTGTATAATGATTTCAAATATTTTTCTGTCAACAGATTAAAAAGGCTCTTAGAGGTGTCAAGGTTGAAGTGACTCATCGAGGAAACATGCGTCGGAAGTACCGGATTTCTGGCTTGACTGCTGTAGCCACTCGGGAATTGACGTACGTATTTATTTTAAGTTTATTATTCTAATATCGTGAATGGTGAACCAAATGAAAGTAATTTTTTACATTTTGTTTTTATCCTTTTCAGATTCCCAGTAGATGAAAGAAATACTCAGAAATCTGTTGTGGAATACTTCCATGAAACATATGGCTTTCGCATTCAGCACACTCAACTACCATGCTTACAAGTTGGGAATTCTAACAGGCCAAATTACTTGCCAATGGAGGTAATATTGGAATACATCATTAACTTTGATTAGATCACAAATACCTCCTATTCTAATGTGTTTTTGTTGTACAGGTATGCAAGATTGTTGAAGGCCAGCGATATTCGAAAAGGCTGAATGAGAGACAGATCACTGCTTTGCTTAAGGTGACCTGTCAGCGCCCCCTAGAACGAGAAAAAGATATCTTGCGGGTATGCTTCTGTATTTTGGACAATGTGGTTTTTTCCGTCACTTAAATGTCGAGTTTCGTATTGTCAGTCTATCTTGGTAGTCGTTATGAATAGTGTAAATTGTTAAGGCTCGTTGTAGAATGGGATAGTTGTAAAATCTGTTTCTTCTTTCTTGTTTGCATGTGTTTGTTTTAATTAAGTGACGTTTTCAATTCATTTCTTGCTATTCTTTCTAAATCCATAGAAACTGGCGGTACAAATCTCATTATGGAATGAATAGCTCTAAAAACCTGTTTATTCTTGTCTGCATGTGTTTGCTTGAAACAACTCTGTAAGATCACTGTGTACAGAGTTATGCTTTAATTTAGACGCCTGCTTATCTATTTTCTGGAGAAAATTTGTGTATATTTATCACTTGGATTTTGTTAGCATGGAGAGTTTCAGTATTCGTTTGCGGTTGAATACTCAATTGTTTATTTCTAACAATTAGTATCAATATTTTTCTGATTTGCTAGACGGTGGAACTCAATAATTATGCGAAAGATCCCTATGCTCTGGAGTTTGGAATCAAAATAAGTACGTCTCTGGCTTCTGTTGAGGCTCGTATACTGCCTCCTCCATGGGTACAGTAATCGTTCGGCTATTACACTTTCTTCTCTGTATCTTATATACTCAAATTTGGGTTCCAACGTGAGTTTACTGCTTTTCTTCCTGCAGCTCAAGTATCACGAATCTGGAAGGGAAGGAACTTGTTTGCCTCAAGTTGGTCAATGGAATATGATGAATAAGGTATATTGATGAAAACGCTCCTGATTTTCAACTAAGCACTTAAAAATGTTATTTGCTTGTGTTACCATTATAATTTATGCTGTCAGTTCATTCAAAGAGTGTTCTGTTCACTTTTGTTTTTGCAAATAATCACATCATTTTCTATTGTTGGCTGATTATGAGTCTTCTCTGCAGAAAATGATCAATGGTGGAACAGTGAATAATTGGATCTGCATCAACTTTTCTAGGCAAGTGCAGGACAATCTAGCACGTACTTTTTGTCAGGAACTTGCTCAAATGTGCTACATATCTGGCATGGTGAGTCATTAAAACACAGCTTAACCAGTATCTGGCAATGTGATCGATCTGTTTATTATTAACCTATCCACCCTATATTTTGGATTATTTTTTACCTGCAGGCATTTAATCCGGAACCAGTCCTTCCACCAGTCAGTGCTCGCCCGGAGCAAGTGGAGAAGGTCTTAAAGACTCGATATCATGACGCCACATCCAAACTCTCTCAAGGAAAAGAGATTGATCTACTTATTGTCATTCTGCCCGACAATAATGGATCATTATATGGTATGTGCCATGTTTTATCTGCTTCATCGTCTTCTTTTTCTTATAAACACTTTTCATTGTTATTTTCCTTTATATTATCTATTGCAGGTGATTTGAAACGCATATGTGAGACTGAACTTGGCATTGTCTCTCAATGCTGCCTGACAAAGCATGTCTTTAAAATGAGCAAACAGTACATGGCTAATGTTGCACTGAAGATTAATGTTAAGGTTGGAGGAAGGAATACAGTGCTTGTTGATGCTTTATCAAGGCGGATTCCTCTAGTCAGTGATCGTCCCACCATTATATTTGGTGCTGATGTTACACATCCTCACCCTGGAGAGGATTCAAGCCCGTCTATTGCTGCTGTAAGTTGATCTCATTTTAAAATTTACTTCTTTGTACATATTCCTCTGCTTATCTTTGTGGCCTTGACCTTTTTGAATTGTGCTTAGCTGATAGATAATGAAATTTGTTTTGCAGGTAGTTGCATCCCAGGATTGGCCTGAAATTACCAAATATGCTGGATTGGTTTGCGCCCAGGCACATAGGCAGGAGCTCATTCAGGATCTGTTCAAAGAGTGGAAGGATCCTCAAAAAGGGGTAGTGACTGGTGGCATGATAAAGTACGTCTTGATATTATTAACTCTACTGCTACTTAGTTTTAGCTTTAGCTTGCTCTTAAGTAGTTTCAATGTTGTTACACTTATTTACCTTATTATCTGTATTTTTTTTTCCCCTTACATTCTGACAGGGAGTTGCTCATAGCCTTCCGTAGATCAACTGGGCATAAACCACTACGGATCATCTTCTACAGGTATTAACTCCACTTATATCACTTACTTAACTATGTATAACTTTTATCCTTATTTCTAAAATTTATTAATTGGTATTTCTCTACAGGGATGGAGTCAGTGAGGGACAATTTTACCAAGTTTTGCTCTATGAACTTGATGCTATCCGCAAGGTAAGAGAAACTATTAACAAATGGCTTGTGTTACGTGCTGGTGGTCTGTCTTTTAATCTGATTTTAATACAACACATTTCAGGCATGTGCTTCGCTGGAAGCAGGTTATCAGCCACCAGTGACGTTTGTGGTGGTGCAGAAGCGCCATCACACGAGGCTGTTTGCTCAAAACCACAACGATCGTCATTCGGTGGACAGAAGTGGAAATATATTACCTGGTGAGACAAGTTTGGATCTTTGTGCGTATACTTAATTAGCTGCTGCAAGTCCCTGGCATTGGTTTTTAACCCCTTCTCTTGATTATAGGTACTGTTGTGGACTCTAAAATATGCCACCCTACAGAGTTCGACTTTTACCTCTGCAGTCATGCTGGTATTCAGGTATGATTTATAATCTAGAATTAGTTCGTGGGTGGATATTTCATGGAAGTGTTTTTGAAGAATCAAAATTCCATGAACAGGGCACTTCTCGACCTGCTCACTATCACGTTCTTTGGGATGAGAACAACTTTACTGCAGATGGACTTCAATCTCTGACCAATAACTTATGCTACACGTAAGATTTTTTACCGTTTGTTTCATTATAGTACGTTGATATACTTTAAAAGTTTACGTATTTCGTAAAATAACAAGGTAAATAAGGGTAACAACATTAAAACTATCTCTTTTTATCTTGGACAGGTATGCAAGATGCACACGCTCAGTTTCAATTGGTAAGTTTTGTGTTACCCTCCCTTCATGATATCTTGATTCTCATATAAAGAAGAGAGAGAACTAATAAGTACGACAGTATCTGATGTTTTGTTTTTTTGGTTTTGTTGGGATATTATAGTGCCGCCTGCATATTATGCACATCTAGCAGCTTTTAGGGCTCGATTCTACATGGAGCCAGAGACCTCAGACAGTGGCTCGATGGCAAGCGGGAGCATGGCACGTGGGGGTGGAATGGCTGGTAGAAGCACACGTGGACCTAATGTGAATGCAGCAGTGAGGCCACTCCCAGCACTGAAAGAGAATGTGAAGCGTGTTATGTTCTACTGCTGAGTTGATTCACCTCTCTCTCTCTATCCATCTTTATCGCCTTAATTAATAATCATGTTTCCTTTCTAAGACTTGTCTTATGTCTCTACTTTACTCCTACTCTATCAAATTCTACGTTACCGAGCTGTGTTGAAAGGTTTGCGTGTGTGTTTGGGTGTTTAATGTTTTGCTGCTACTCTTTATCAATGTGTATGAGACCCTCGATAATACTTCTGTCTTGCTGCTACTCTTTATTTTGTGCTGAGATCTTATGCTATCGACACTATTAAGTCAAATATAACAAGGTAACAATATCATAATAGAGGCATGTGTGTAGATATGTCAAAATAGTGGAAAGCTTACAAATATATAAGCGGATATTACTCCCCCTTTAATGCTTTCTGCTGTGATTACGAAAGATCTCCAAAATCCACATATCTCTCTCTCTCTCTCTCTATCACCAACTCGGAGAGTTTCCATATTTTATACTTTACGCAAGCATTAATTGTAAATTCTTCAAATATGTTCATATTAATCTCTCACTGATTTAGGCGTTTGCCTTTTTCTTCCTTATTATTTGAAAAATGGCTTTTTGAATTTTCCCCTGTTTCTATACCTTCCAATTCCATTAACCTGCAAAGTATTCTACTTTCGATTTGAAGGCAGAATACATGGATGCCTCTCAGCTTCCTCTTCCACAATTGCCATCTCTCTCCGGTAAAGTAATCTTCCGTTTCAAAAAAATTAAAACTTTGTATTTGTATATGTATTTGTTGCTTACTTGGTTTGTAATCTTGGTGACCGAACACAGAGCTTGAGTCTCGGATGCAAGTAATGCGTGTCTCTGCTCTTGAAGATAACCAAACCGGTGAAACGTTTACTCAACGTGCTGAATGGTTTTATCAGAGACGTCCTCTCCTTCTCTCACTCTGTCAAGATCTCTACGATGGTTACGCCACTCTCTTGCACCGTTTCAATCACTCCAAACTACAAAACTCTCTCATTCCTCATGACAGTGATACCGATACTGACATCACTTCTGAAATAGAGAGCCTCTTGTCTTTTCAACAGATGGAAGTCTCCGCTTGTGATAAGCAGAAGATCATTGAAGAGTTAGTCTCGCAGCTCGTGAGTGCAAACTCGGAGAAAGACATAGGGAAGCACGAGTTACAACGCAGAGAACAAAAGTTGCAAGAAGCTTCCAAGACAATTGAGTTGCTAAAGAAGCTTGTGATGTTGCTTGACATGGAGAAACAAGTATCCCTAGAGGAAGCCGCAAATCTCGGATACAAACTAACTTCTCTCTTGGAAGAGAACCGAGAGCTCGCTACTGAAGCGCTGTTTATGAAAAAGGAAGCAGTTAGGCTAGCTAGGTGCATGCTTAAGATGAAGGATGAACATTTTCACAAGATGTGTTATCTTCAGAACCAAATCTACGATCTGCAGTCATCGAGAGAGGCTATCTACGAAAATGTAAACCCGCCGAGCTGTTTCAGATTGGATAGTAGTAAGAACAAGAGCAAGAAGAGAAAGATGAGTGAAACAAGAAGTGAACCTGGAGAGAAGAAGAGATCCAAGTGGTTAAAGAGACTCAATACCATCAATCCTTTTACCAAATGTTAGCATTACCCCATCATCTTCTTTTTACAAGAGTTACCTTTTACATTTGTATTTGTGTAACTCATTAGATTAGTAACGCTTCATGATGGATAATAATGCCTTGCCTGCGTATGTTCTATTTGCCTTGTTAGAACATAGCAGTGTTTAACGAAACCTACACAAGAGACTAGCGCTGCTTCAATGATTCTTAGTTTCGTCTGATTCAACTTGTCTCTAGTTGATCAGTTTTAAGTACTTGCACCTTGTTACAAAAGGTGTGACTTGCGAAAATTGAGAAACATACATAAATTCTTCTTCCATATTAAAAAAATGAAATAGTAAACAAAAACCGCTTTTTATGTGCTTCCAATCACTACCTAAGTAGGACGTGGCTTGCTTTGATTGGGTTTGTCATAATGTAAAGAATAAATATTTTTTTTTTCTTCCTATTCTCTCGTCTCTTCTCCGAACCTTTCTCTTTCTCCTCCCTCCCAATCTCCTGCCACATGTATATATATATATATATCACTGCAATGCAACAGCAACAACACACAAACATAGATCGTTCGTTACCTTGAATTCTCCGGCGACGATTTGGGAATTGATCTACACTATTAGGTTCGTTCCCTTATAGAGATTCCCTTCTCAAAATTAAATCTTTGATTAACCAGCTCATTCAATTTCGAAATTACTAGAATTGGAATTAAGCCAAAAAAATTAGGTATGATTAGGGCATATCTCAAATTTAGGTTAAAAGAAAATGCAAATGTGATATATACTTGCTAAAGAGGACACATTATCTACCTCTCTCTCTCATGTCTCTCTATGACTAAACAGAGAACACCTTTCAACGAGCTCTCTCGGTTACAAAGATTAGGAATCAAGTTTACGGATATGAGTGATCTCAATGGCTCTTCTACGGTTTCTAATGTAAGTGGAACAACTTCTTCTTCTTATTCATCTCAGAGCTTGGTATACGTTAAAAAGTCAAAAAATAATGTTTTTCTTTTTAGTATCGCTCTCTGATTTGTTTTTCTTTTACAGTTTCATGAAAATGCATGTTTGTTTTGTTGCAGGATGATGTTGAAGCTGAAATGAGGAGACTGCGTTTAGAGCTGAAAAATACTATGGATATGTATAAGTCAGCTGGCAGAGAAGCTTTAACCGCAAGGCACGAGGTATTTATTATACATCTATATCTCCATGTTTGTTCTTTACCTCAAGAGGATTGATTCATATAAATTGGTTAGAAATCTGATTTAGGCGACAGAGCTGCTAAAGTTAAGGATAATAGAGGAAAGACGATTAGAGTAACTAAGAGGGGTGTATTCAAAATGGAATTTTAAGAGATTTGAGTTTTATTGGGGTTTTAAATGATTTTGATGATTTTAGGGAAGTTCATATGACTTTTGTAAAATCCTTTCAAATCTCACCAAAAACTATGGGATTTGGATTTCTATATTTTTAACTAGGGAAATCCTCTAAAATCCTTCAAAATAATTAAAATCCAAATCCACAAATTGTTTTCAATAACAGTGAATTTTAAGGTGGATTTTGAAATCATTAGTTGAATAACAGTGGATTTCATGAGACTTTTTAAAATTCATGTTTGAATAACAGTGGATTTGTAAACTTTTTACAAATCACTTGAAATTTCACTTTGAATACACCCCCCTAAGAAGAGCACCCTCAACGGTGAAACACACTTTTGAGCTTCTTAAATCTAAAAGTAATTAATATTTTTTTTTAAAATTAAACAATAGAAAGAACACGCATAAGAGAAGAGAGTCTAATAGATAGAAAAAAAGTTTTTAGGCCATCATTAAGAGCATGAGCATTGGTGTTCCTCTTAGTTTGGTCCCATGGTTAAAATATGATTGTTTTGATCATGGGACAATTGTATGTTTTTTTTATGTATGAGCATTGGTGTCCCATGTTTTTGTCCTATGATTTAAATAATATTATTTTAAGTTTTAAAATTTAATAATTTTAATTAATAAGTAAAAATATATTAAAGATTGGATTAACATAAAACATATAACGTTAATATTGAAAACATAAAAAGTTATAAAATTTAAAATTTATCTTCATTATCCGGAAGATGTCCAAAGTTAGTCCAAACATTTTATTCAATTCATATATCGGCGTCACCAACGGTATATGTTTTATCCACATCTTCTCCGTGTTAAAATTCAGAAACGTTACAGAGATTGTATGTGTGTCGTTAATCTTCGACAATCATATTATTTCGACAATCATATTATGTAGTATTATGTATGCTCTCGTAACATTTGCTATTTTGTATTTATTCCATAAAGGAGATGAATTTTTTCATAAAAAAAATTTTGCCCTATTAAAAAAACATCACCATGATGACAAAAAAAAATCATCCAATCAACAATAGCCACGTGGCTCGTAGGACGAGTGATATTCGTCCCGTTTTAAGAAACGTTTCTACACTTTAATCGTATTTGTGATTTATTTTTAAAACAAATATTGTGTCATTTATGTGTGGGACGAAGCATAAGCACGTTAATGCAAATGCTCTAATGCAAGTATTATACTTTTCTATGTAAATCTTATCTCTAACATACTTGCATTAATGAAGTCTAAGAGCATCATCAATGCAAGGTTCTTACACTTAAGATTTACACATGAGAGAGTGTAAGAACCTTGCATTGATGATGACCTAAGTAGCGTAAATAAGGTCAGATCCTTCTTCTCTCTCTACATTTTCAATTATTATTTTTGTGTTTAGGATGAAGCACCTCCTCTAAAGATGACAGAGGAAACATCAATGTCAGTGGTAGAAAAAGAGAGAGAGCAACAGCCAGAACAGCCTTGGAAGGAACTGAAGTGGAAGAAAAAGGAAGGCTAAACGCAGAGATGAAGGTATTGGAAGAAAGCGATTCTTTCTCTCTAACATAGTACGACTTTTATCAGTGGTTCACCTTTGATACAATTACAATTGGTGTGTATGAACTTCTAGCAAGTTAAATGGTTTAGAAACTCTCTATTAGTGATTCCTTGTAGAAAGCTTTATAATGTTTGTTCCCTTTATATTACTCTGGTTGGTTAATTTATTGTATTCTTTTTGCTTCCTATAAACCTATCTGATCTCAGATGTGGTTTGTATGGAATGTGAGAACCATTTCACAACATTAACTATGTTACTAATTATTCTTAAAAAAAAAAAAATCTTAAGAACCTCTCTCATGAATTCAACCATTGGCAAGTTTTCTTAACAACTCTTAGTTCTTAAAGATTGAAAAATCCAAAATTTAATAGAAATTTTTGGTAAGAACCATCATAGAGTTTTACCATTAGAAGTGGTCAAAGTAAAGTCGCAACCTTTCAGATGCAAAGAACAATACTTTACATAAAAAAAAGTATATTTCAGTCTCTCTCTCTCTCAGATTCCATCGTCGAGCCGCAAGCGAAGCAAACTTTTCGATCTCCCTCGTTTCCTCTATCGTCGTAAGTTTGTGTCCTGCCCTGTTTCAGATGATCCCGAGTTACATACGCCTTTGATAAAAGGACAATTCTGGATTTGTGTCTATGAGTTCCCCAAGTGAGTCAATATGCAATTTGCCAGATGAGATTCTTGGCAAAATCTTGTCTTTCCTTCCGACAAAGGTTGCTGCTTCCACATCGATACTGTCCAAGAGATGGAGGAATCTGCTGGGTCTTGTAGACACCCTTTGCTTTGATGATTCGCTTGTTGTCTATCCCAATGAAGAAGAAGCAACAAGCGGTTCGAATCGCTTCTGTGATTTCGTAGACAAGACATTAGCTTTGTTAAACAATGCCCACATCAAAAAATTCTCTCTTTGTCATGTACCTAGCGAGTACGATGGCCATCACGAAGCATACCACCGTTGGATCTCGACTGCAATGGAACGTGGTTTATTGGAACTACACTTGCACGCGTACCCACTCTGTAATTTTGTTGAGATAGAGAGAGACTTGTTCACGAGCAACACATTGGTTAAGCTGACACTATCCGGTTTAATTCTCTTGAAGTCGAGCGTGTGTTTCTCCCTGCTCTCAAATCACTTTCTCTGTTCTCAGTTTCAATGCTTAATTACGACAACTATTGTCGGCTTCTTGATGGCTGTCCTGTGTTGGAAGAGTTATACATACGTGATACTGGTGATTGGGATTGGCCATGTTGTGGTGCGTTTGTGAAAAGTGCATCCATCAAGCGACTTGTGGTTTTTGTCAATCATCCTGATGCTAAAAACCAACATCAAGTAACTTCTTTTATAGCACCAAGTCTTGTCTACCTTGACTATTCTAGTTATGTCTTCAAAACTTATCAGTCTGTTGATTTGGATTCGCTTGTTGAAGCTAGGCTCAATCTTAGATTATGGGAGTCAATTAACAATTATGATTCTTCTGATGAAGATGTTTATGATTATTGTGTTGATGTTATGTTTGGTGATGTTACCAATCTAGTTGCGGGTATAACCAATATTTCAACCCTTCACTTGTCTCCTGATTCCCTTGAGGTCAGTTTTTGCTCTAAGTGATTCATTTTTTCTTTTTGTTGGTTTCTCTGACTATATATGGCTTTTTGTTGTGGTCATATTTAAATCAGGCTATTTATTTCCTCTGTAAATCCATACCGGTGTTCAAGAACCTCGTTAATTTATCTATTGAGAGTAACAAGGATAAAGGTTGGCAAGCAATGCCACTTCTCCTCAAGAATTGTCCAATTCTACACACTTTAGTCATCAAGGTATGATCAATTCCCTTATTGAGATTCTCTTTTTGTTGTTAGTGTTTCCCATTATACATGTTACTTGGTCTGGTTTTAGGGTCTTGCACATAGAGTATCGATTAGATGCGGAGATGCATGTGCTTGCAGCTCTAAGAAGCATGTTACGAAAGGGAAGATTGTAACGAAGAACAAGGAAGAGGAAACATGTTGTTTATGTATATGTCAAGTGAAGGTGCTAGAGGTTTCAGGGTATGGAGGTTCTTTCCAAGAGCTGAAACAGATGAGACATTTCTTGGGTAAGTTGGAATGTCTCGAAACTGTGAAAATTGGTGTTGAATCAGACATCTATGACGATGATTTCTTGCGAGCTACTCTGCTGACTCTCCCCAGGCTTTCAACAAAGTGCAACATCCAGTTCATCTGATTTTTTTTTTTCCTTTGATCTTTCTCGGTTAGATGGCAATGTGAAAGTAACTTAACATGAAAATACAATATCAGTAAAGTTGGTTACAATCTGTTTTTGGAAGATACATAATACGTATGTGTTGTTCTTTGTTGGGGAAATGTCGATCATGTATGAAGAACCTACCAATTTAACACACATAATTGAATCAAACTGGCCAACAAACAAGCACACAGCTAGAATTGGATTGGATTGAAAATGTATCCTCGTCGAGCTGATTTAGATTGGATGATATTAAAGAAAGATGAATGACAAAAGAAGTGAACCAAAAGCAGTATTTTCCATCGTCTTGATCTTCTCCATTGTGCTGCACTCTAAATTATTTACCCCTAGTTACATATGTATTGGGATAATTCATTAGATTACTAACTCTCTTCAGGATGCATAATAATGCATGTGATGTTCTAGTTGATAGCACGAAGATGTCTCATATGATAAGAGACGAAGTCTTTGATTTCAGACAGAGCAAACTAAGGTCGTGCACGAGGAGCATCTTTGTCAAGACGTACGCATAAAATGTCAATCTTGATATATATCTTTTCCATTAATATAGTGACAACAATTAATATAACGGTAACACTTACATAATGTAAACTTTCCAAAAAACATAACGTAATTAATAAACATGCTAAGACAATATATCGAGATCTACGTCTTCTTCTCTCTAAATCTTTCCATTTATGCTAATTATGGGGTTTACGGACTTCACTTCAAGAACTTTAGTTACTCATACCAACATTATTGACAGGCTCTTAGAATCAAAACAGAGTATCTTATCACAATGTTTTGAAGTGAAACACTGTGCTAAGATACTCTGTTCTAATCCTAAGAACCTGCCAATAATGTTGCCCTCACAATACTTGATCGTGAAGATACATGCACACATCTTCATGTTGCTCCTTCTTCTTCAAAAGTAAGATTTGTTCTTCTTTTCCTGTAATGATTCTTGATTTTGTAGTGATAATCGATCATTTTTTTTCTTTTAGTTTCTCGTTTGATGATGATATGGGTTTATTGATCTCTCGTACGTACGTCTCTACCATCTTACGTTGTTGACTCTTTTAAATGAACCCCTTCTCTTCGATGCGTCTTATCTCCATCCTGTGTCTCATGTATAATTTGGTAAGGCTTACGTTTCTTTATTGACTATAACTTTGTATTGAGCTATGTCCCCATCTTTATCCAAATCAACAAATGATACTACAAACGAAACGATATGTATCTTTTTTTTTGTTGATTTGGATAGAGATGATCACGTAACTCTCGTTACAAGAATCATATTCATCGCCATACCAAATTAAAGAGACATAGAATGGATGTAAAAGCACATAAAAAAGAAAAAGTTTATTCAACGAGAGTCGACGACATATGATGATAGAGACTTACGAGATCCTCCAAACCCAATATTATCAAAACAGATACTTTTTCAGAAATGATCAATTGTCGCTACAAAGCCTCATCACCCTTCTTCAAATACTCTTTAACATTGTATTTTTATCTCAACCTAGCTAGAGATATATATTTTGTTTACTTATTATTCTTGTTCTACTCTACCCCATTTTATAGATGGTTAGGGTCAAAGTAGGTTAACACATATTATAAAATGCCTATCTTGATATATATTTTTCCATTCATATATTTATATTTTTCCTTAAATCTATCCATTGACTAATACCATATATTTTATTTATTAAGAAACTTTGACTAGACAACTCATATTGTAAAACTTGGTTTTTGAAGTTACCCATTAACATTATTACAATACTTATTAAGTATATTGATAAGATGTTAACATGTGTCAAATCTAAAAATTTTAATTTATCTATATAATAATAGCAAACTGATAAAATACCAATGAAGATTATGTCTTTTCATCGTACATTTTTTTTCGTAAAACATCTAATTTTAATTAATTTTAAAGAGAGCACTTTTGTACTTCTCTTTTACTGTAGTAGAGATATGACAACATTCTCCTTTTTAGTCTATAGTAACCCCAAATATATCCATCACTCTTAGGTATTAAATCCTAAGTGAATCTTGGAATTTTTTATTCAATATATTGGTCGTCAAATGTACTGCTTGTTTGTGCTAAATTGCGTATATATTAACCTTAAGATAGACACAAAACTTCTATAGAATTTTTTTTTTTTCTTTTGCTCCTAAAACTTCTATAGAGATTAAAAACCATTTTTCGTAGACTTCTTTTATATATTTTATTCGATGTCCTTTACACTACCTGATAGATCTCACCGATCAGCTTGCTATGAGTATAGTTCATGATCAGATGTGACCTCGGTCACCGACCAACCACGGAACGATCCGTCTGGCCGAGGTCACCATCCATCCGACCGCATCCATCGTCCGTCCGGCCACATCCATCGACAAGCGACTAACCCGAGGGCAACAATACAATATCAACGCATCAAAATACCTTCAAAGAACATCAAGAGGAGCAAGGCGATTTCATCGATCATCCATCCAACATGCCAAGCTCAGCCATTCTCACCGAGAGTTCATGGTACGCATCACCATCGAAAGACCATCGGGTGAAACCAGCTTTGGGAAGCTTCAGTCGTGAGTCTTCACCATTCCGCTCGCGTGAAGACATCCCTAAGTCATTGAAAAAATCTGTACTCTTTTCTCACTTCGGGTTTGTCCCACATGGGTTTACTGGAGGGATTTTAATGAGGCAGCGAGTCTACGCATCTCCATTTTGTTCCTACTTGGTTCATGGCTTGGAAACGTTCGAAGACAAGCTTCGGAGCCGATGAAGTGAAGATTCTATCCAAAGAAAGCATCCTCCACGAATAAAAGCTTTCTTTATCGATCTTTTACCTTCTTTATCGATATATATTCGATTTTTTTACTTTTCACCGAGAGAACCGTTAGAAAACGCTCTCTTTCTTTCTCCTTTTGTGTAGAGTTTAAGGATCCACGTGTCTATGGTTACTTTAGCCTCCCTTCCTTTCTCCCTTGTCTATTTAAAGGCATGACTATCGATTGTAATCGACACGATTAATTTAATATCGAAAATGTTTATTTTCTTGCGTCTTCTTCGTTTCTGTTTAAGTGTGAAGCTTAGAGAATCGAAAAACCTTGAAGATTCTCGAACCGGGTTTCGTTAATCTTCAAGTCAGCCGTATCGAGGGATCGTTCATAACCCTCGTGTCGTCGAATCGATCCATCCATCAATCTCGAGAAATCCTTCATTTGTACGAAAGTTTTTCTCCATCCAACCAAACCTCCACCAAAGATCATTCGTTAGCTTCCGCGACCGCCGAACAAACCCGCGACAGTGCCATCGCCTAGTTCATCGCATTCGGTGGTTCATCAATCAGTCTCCTAACACAACCATCATTGTCTAGTTACAATATAGTATGCCAAAGCTACATGAGCCGGTAATTGATGTACTTGAAAGCTTCAAATACATAATAAATAAGATGATCAAGCTAGCATTGATACAAAAATTCAGCTCGAGATGCCTTTGCCTTCTTCTGCACTGTAATGATAATTCATCAACAAGCCAAAAAAATAAAATAATGCAACCTTTGTAACAATGGTGAATTCAAATTTTACATTTTTATTTTATGGTTGTGCCCTTTATTTGTTAAACTAGTGATGGACCCGCACGTACGTGCGGGGTTAATTTTACAAAATTACGATTTTTTAAGTAGATGTTATTTTGATAAAATTTTGTTATATGAGTTTATTTGATAAACTATATATAGACATACAATTGTAAAATATATATATTATATTACATAATACAATTTCAAAATTATTTAAATGAAAATGATAAATGATATTACGTGTTTATTTTTTAAACTAATCAAAACAGTTCTAACTGTTTGCTTAGAGATGTTAAATCGGATTTGAATTTGGCTTTAGTTTGAATTGTTTTATGTATAGTTTAGAATGGAAAATCCGTCCTATCCCTTTCCGTCTCGTCTTGACTCGTCCCGTCCCACCCCGCCCCGTCCCGTCCCGTCTTCTATCTGTCATAAAATTTATGTCCCATAATCGTTTATTTTTAAAACATAATCATTTGACAATGTTTATTATAAGAAACTTGGTAAAAGATTTAGACGGGATACCCGTATTCTTTGTTTAAATATTTATTTTTATTAAACTAATAAAAATCTAATTATCAATCTAAGTCACATGCTCCCACCATTTTCATTCACAAGACACTGTCTATAATCCTAGCATACACAATCCTTGTTCGATTTTTTTTTAA